ACAACTTATCTCGTTAATATTTTTTTTAAATATGTGTTTTTTGAAAAAAGAAAATAAGAATTGTTCTTTTTTTACCAAAAAATATTATCTTTTAAATAACGTATTATATTTGTTCAAAAACTTTTACTTGACGTATAAATATATTAAATTAATTAGATTTTTTTGAATTATTTATTAATATAACAATATTAAAAATTGTAGATAACAATTTATTTCGTTAATATTTTAAAAAGAACTTTAAAAAATATGTATTTATTTGAACAACATAAAATAAGAAAAGTTACTTTGTTTACAAACAAAATATATCTCGAAAATAATGTTTTATTTAATAAATATTTGAATGCAACTTAATAAGAAAAGTAAAAAAATTAAATGTTTTTTTAGATTATAGCAATGAAAAATGAAAATCACTAATAATAATTTGAAATAGGTTTTTTATTTAATTTTAGTTAAGTCATCAAAATAATATGGCATCCACATCACCTCATTAAAGCCACACAAGCAAAAAAGTCAAAGGGTTAACCGGTTTAAAAGGTAGCAGGTTACTCATTGCTATTATGAGTAGATTTTTTAAAGTACAATGCCTTAATAAAAAATAATTTAAAAGTACATTGTTGTAATAAAGAAAAACAAAAGTAGAATGCTATAATAAAAATTTTTATGAAAGTAGGTTGTTATTTCATGCATTTAACCTTATTTTTAAATTTATACTTTATTAAAAAATAAAAGCATTATCGTTTCCTCAAAACTCCATAAAATCGTATTGTATCAACATAGATAAGAAAATAAAACAAAACATTGAAATTGAAAATGTGTCTCGATGCATTGCACGAGTACACTTCTAGTTAAAAAAAAAATCCATGTCACTAACCACATCATCAAATAATATTGAGTTGGATATCACATCACTCGTCACATCAGCATAATAATCGGTTAATGTCTCCACCAGTTATCAAGGTACTTAAATGTTTAAAACTTTACATCTTATGTACCAAAATGAAAGTTTTAAAAATACGTTACCCAAAATATAAATCAAGTTAAAATACGTTGTTTTTTCATACAATTTGCTTTTTTGATAACACCTAGAAAGAAATAGTTATAAGATCAATTTTGGAGAGAGAAATAGCTATTTGGATATAATTTTAAAATAAAATCTAATTTTTTTAAAACATCAAATACATAGTAACCTTATATTTCATTATTTTTTAAGTTTTTATTTTAAATTTTTTTATCGAAATACTATTTCATATTTAAAAATGTTACAATGTATTTATAGAACACTTCTAGTCGTTTTAACAAGCTTTTTTGGCGTCTATAAATCTTAACTAAATTTTATACGACATTATTTGAAAAAATGTCCTATAAACATTAGTGTCCCGTAAAAAATTTGTTTATAGGACACTTTTCAAAAGTGTCTTATCTATAAAATACCAAATAAGACATTTTATTTTAACAACGCTTTTAGATAGTACACTTTATAGTTTTGTTGTATAAACTTTAGTTCTATAAAGTATTCAATTATGACACTTAAATAATCTAGACGTCTTATAAATCCAGTTTTATTGTAATAAATACAGAAGGGTAATCTTACATATTGCTTCCATGTATCACCATTGAGAAATTGTTCCGATACAGGAAGCTAAATTTTATCGCGAGTTGATCGCTACATGCAAAAAGCACATTATGTTTTAAACGGTTCAAACCTCTTGAATCAATAGGGAGACCCTTCAACAAAGAAACAACCAGATAAAAAGTTACCTACTTTAACGTCTTATTTATGTTCACCAATCACATTAATACACATCATCATAAAAAGAATATGAACTTAATCAAAATAAAAACAGAACCATATTACAACCGTTATTGATAGAATTTTTATAAGAGGGGAAACAAGATTTCCAACAAGATGTTACAGTGCAAAAACATAAGAGTATTTTCAATGGAAGATTCTTATAAGTAACAAGTCTAGGTAATTTTTCAATCTGAACGTTTTCCCAAACAATCATATTTTTCTGTTTAGAACTTTTGTCAAACACTAATTATATTTGACATAAGAGGGGGTAAAATGGTAATTTCATGTCATTCAGACTGTTGATTCATAACAATGTTCAAACAATCATTTTTTTATACACCATTAAATTACTCGAGGGACAATCTTCGTCCGGCCTGAGGAAATCTTTGCACCCCTCCGTTACCTTTAGGGATATAGAGAGGTTTCTTAACCCTTTTGCACCAAATGTTTCCAAAGTAGAGTGACGGTATAATCTAGACACTATGCGTAAATTGGAATCTCATCTTTACACCCATGGACAGAATAGCTTCCCGGAAGCAACTCACCCACATTCTCCAGCCATCATCTCTTTCCTGTTGTCAATTAACATAAAAAGTGGCTTATTCATTAAGCTTACAGGGGAGAACTTTATGCAGAAAGTCAAATTCTTTTTCGAACTTACCAACCCCAGTTTAAAAACAAGTTCCTTTCATTTATGAAAAGAGTTACTCAAATAAAAACCTTCACAATCTCTACAGACACTTTAATCCAGACATACAACTTCATCTTAATACATATGAAGATAACCTTGTAATATCATGTGAATCTTATCTCACAATCATCATGATTATTGGTTCCTCTTATGCATGTTTAATGGACTCTGGAGTCATTAGTTTTCTTTTATATATTACTAAACAACAATAACAGTTTTATAGGATGATTTTAATAAAACAATAAAATTTAGGATGCTTTTAAAATAAAATGTCCTATTAGATATTTTACAAGACACTTTTGAGAAGTGTTTTATAAACCCATCTTTTTGTATGACACTTGTGTTTATAGTATACTTTTTTTCTTCAAATGGTGTCATATAGAAGTAACGAAGTGGTCATAATCCTTCATATGGTCAATATCGGATTTGACTGGTCAAAATTTGCAGCTTTGAGTGGTTAATAGTTACAACTTTGACTGTTTAAAAATTGCGGCTATGCGAAAAGTAGAGAGAGTAGTTTTGTAACTTTTACAAACACGAGGCAAACGGATTAATGTATGAATCTATGTGATTCACATACGAACTATATGTTCACATGTGAACTAACTAACTGATTCATATATAAACATGTGAGTTCATATATGAATCAGTTAAATAGTTCACATGTGAACTAATTAACGTATTCACATATGAACATATAGTTCATATGTGTATCACATGGTTTCATATATGAACTCGTTTAACGCCTATTTATAAAAGTTATGAAACAACTCCTCTCCGCATACTCATACAGGGAATTATCCGCTACTTCATGGTCAAAGCCACAAATGCTGAAAAGATGAAGCGTTCGAATCACTTATTTACTTCTCAAATAAATATATTAGTACAATATATATATATAAATCATATTTATTGTTTTTAAATTAGAATACAAGAAATATGAAAAGGACCAAAATACCTCTGAGTTAACGGACTTTTCTAACGAGAGTTAGTGAGAGAGACCAAAACAAAACTAAAATAGCAATTATAAGGACCAAAATTGTAATTACTTCAAGATGAAGGTGATGCTTAACAATGAGTGACAAATACAGTGACAAAAAATGTAATTTGCTCAACTATTTATAACATTGATTAATTATTTGTTTAATTTTTGTGTGAAATTATTATCTTGACCCGGGAAGTGCAACCCGGACTCGGGCCCGACCCGAATTACATGTTTCGGTCCTTATAAATATCGAGGCCACGGGCCGGTGATGGTACAAAATTAGGGTTTCAGAAGGCGAAAAAGTTTTCATCGAATCAGTACCGATTTCCATCGTTCGATACGACAATGATCTACGACGTTAACTCTCCGTTGTTCCGTTCCTTCCTCAGCCAGAAGGGAGGCTCTTCTGATAAAAGGTACGATTCGTTTAATTGGTATGAAATTTTGATGTTAGGGTTTGTATATCTTTGTTTTTTCTTATTAGTCGATGGTGTATTATACGGTATTTGATACTCGGAGCGTTGTTTATTTGCTATTTTGATGCACATCGTGTAGGGTTGAATGATGTCGTCGAATGTTTTTTTGGTAGGATATTTGGTTTTTTGTTTATGCTTTAATTATATCTATCAGGTGACAAATGTGATTGAGAGTTATGTGCACCAGGGATGAGTTTATCATTACGCGACCTTTTAATTTTGATTCTCGTTGGAATTTATCTATGTTAGAACCTTGAATATTGCTGTTCCGAGGGTGAATTGTTCGAATTAGGGCTCCTAGTTGTTTGGTAAATCACGAGCAGTGTATCCTTGATGGTTGCTCTCTCCTATCATTGTTAAAGAATTGTTACATGGCCTGGTGATAGGTGCATTAATGACTCAGGACATGTTTTGCTGAAGTTGTAAATCAGGCACTTGAAAGTGGATAGGTCTAGGCCTAAATTTGAAGAGAAAGGATGCAGCTAAATGCAAGTGGCTATTATGGATTCTTTTTTGTTACATGATAGTTCGTCGTGGTATATGGTGGCGCTTATTTGGAGTTATCTCACATCATAAGATGCTATAAGCATTCTTTGCGTTTTCTACCAGACAAGTGTGTTGTAGGTTATATTTATATACTATTTGTGTAGGTTTTTATCATATCTATTGCTCGTGAGGTAGCCTACAAGATGAATGGGACTATGTGGCACTTATTTTTCTTAAAACACTACTATTGAGATGCCTCAGTTACTAGCACCCTTATATGCATGCATTGGGAGAAATAAGATGGTAGACATTTCACATGATGGATGATGCTTTTAAGGGAGAAATAAGAACCTCCATGTGGGATCATTGAAATACTATTTCCCCACATATGTGTGATTGTATTTTTGGCTCTTGCAAGTAAGGATTCAATCTTATTTTGCTATACTGTTGTACATACCTTTTAGTATGTTGTCTCAGTGGATGAACCGGTTCCTGCAAGTTAATTGCTTGCAACTATTTTGATTCACTATTTTAAGTGACTCAGAAGTTGATGTAGTGATGATGTTAGATTTTTGTTCTTTGAGGATGTGCAGGTTGTATTATGATTGTTTCAATCTTGCCAGGCAATGAGCTATGCTCGTCTCTGTTAATCTTAATCCAAGTTTATCTTCTGAAGTTCTCCGATTAATTTTGTTCTTAGCTTTTTGTTGGAAGTTTACCCTCTCCGTACAGAATAAGAAACAAAATCTTTTTCTTTGTAAATCACATCAAGTTTTTTACTCTGAATTGTATTTCATTTTGGCATCATACATCTAAAGAACTGTGAAATTTTATGAAAAACGACGGTGTAAGGGGACGTTTACTGAACACTTACCGGTTCAATTACCTTACTGGGTGAACATAACATGGACCGAGAATTCTACTCGGTAAGAGGGAAAGACAAGGGTCGACGGTCATATTCATCATTTGGTTTTAGTTTGACCAAGTCACCACGAGAATTTGCTATTATGGCTGTTCATATCTTAATACTATTGGATTTGTTTGGTTATATTGGTTAATATAAGTGATGTTAATTATTAGGGTGTGTTCTCAAATATCATTTTTGCTTTATAGGAAAACCGAGGAGCAAAGGCCAAAGGAGCAAAAGCCGAAAGCTAATGAAAACAAGCCTGTCATGAACGAGTAATGATCTTTTTCGACTAGAAAACATGTAAGGTGTATGCATGCTGTTTTTCGAATTTCATTTCTGTTTTAATTTCATCTACTTTTGAGTCGGTGATTCGTCGACCATCTCTGTGTAACGGTGTTTGTTCAGATGGAGATGAAGGCAGATAACTGATTTTGATATCGTAGCACGATTTGGTTCAAGAATTCTCATACCCCCTTCATCCCAAAAATAAATGATCACCCTGAAAAAGAGATGGATTTAGATATCTATAATTACTAGTTGTGTACCCGCGCAATGCGGCGGGAGCCATGAATTTTAACGATTTGGAAGTTTAACTGGTTTTATAAGACAATATTTAACGATGATATAGGTTACACTTGATCTTTATATATTAATACAATTTGAATAAATAAGAGTTATGGTTCTAATTACAGACTATTGATGAAAAAAATTGTATGACAGTTTAAAATCCAATATATTTAAAATTCAATATATTTAAATGACTTAACAAATGTGTTCGATTTACACCAAGAGCAAAAACCAAAAAACTTGAGTTTTAAGATAAACACTCAAAACCAATAAAGAAAACTATAAATCTGACAGATCATAAGCTATGAAAAGACCAAAAAGGTGGGTTTTAGAATGAAATTTCAACTGCTTACCCTCTTTCTTGTCCAGAAGCTCAGATTAAGGTTGAATTAATACATGTATATATATATTTCAAAAAAACCCAAGAACATATTATACAGTGCAATTTGGAGAGCCTAATCCCAAAATGTATAGCATATATATATAAATAAATAACTATAAAAGTATAAACCGTGAACATTAAAAATATTTTTTCATAGTGTATATAATATATAATAATATAATTAAGTCAAAAACTATTCAATATTGGATTTATTTCGAAGGTATTAACGAGACAATTATAATTGTGCAACTTGTTAAAATAAAAATGTATTTTTTAAACATGTTTTATTTGATATACGATTATGTATGTTAATTTGATAAATGTTTAAAATGAAACATTTAAAAATAAAGGACGTAAAGTAATTAATTAATTAATTGCAGGGATATAAAATGTAAATTTAAAATTATAATTTTAAAAAAAATCCCAATGTGAGAAGTAAATGAGGTAAATGTATGTGAGGGGGTGAGTGTATGTGAGGAGAGGAAGGAGTGAAAAAGTGAAAAGGGTATCTTGGTCATTTAGAACTTTAAGACTTTAAAACTTTTGATGAATTTGCTTAATAAGATAGTATAGATTACACTTTTTAATTCGTTTAATGATAATTTTACACTTGATAATAGAAAAGTACACATGTTTTGGGAGAAATTAATATATTGAAGTTAGATACTTATTATAGGTTCGAGGGAGTATACGTCGTACGTGTGCTAAAAAAATCCGTTGGACTGTTCAAACCGAACTGTTTTTGGCGGTTTGGTGGTCTGGTCTGAAAAATAGCCAAACCGCTTGGTCTGGTCCGGTATGTGGTTTGAACGTTTTTCTGAACAGTATGGACCAAATCGACCGCCAAAAAATGTTTGTCTAGGACATTATATTTTTAGCTTGACAGTGTTGTATAAATGGGAGAAATTCTAAAATCCATCAAGAGTCAAATCCAAAATTCTAAATGACTTGTATAATTTTTTTTAACTTGCTTAATGTTTTTTATTTATTTAAGATACGAGTGTTTTTTATAATTCAGTATAATATTTTCTTGAATTATACAAATGTTCCATTGATAGAAATTTACTTTTTGATACAAATGTTACCTTTTTTAGTTTAAAGCCAATAAGAGGCCCAAACTGTCTAAACCGATCAGACATGTCGTATTTTTTGTGGTCTGGTTTGGCCACTTGTTGTCAAACTCGGTTTGAAAATTTTCTAAATTGTCATTGTGGTTTGATTTATGGTTTGGGGGGTTAAACCGCTAAACTGGACTAACCGATTTGTTTGGTTTGTAGGAATGGATTGGAGGGGGGGGAGGGATTTGGATTCAGATCTATTTTAATTTCATGTTTGTTTTGTTGGATTGTTCGGATTTGAAATTCTAGGGTTTAATTGAAATTACAAACATAGGATTTTGAAATTCTTGGTGCTCGTGATTCACGGGATTTTGTAGAATTGTATTCAATAAAGTTTTAAAAAATGTTAAAACATTTGTTTTGCAGTAATCGAAAAATAAAGATGTAATTTAAGTATTTCTATAATTTATTATAATTAATTATCATAAACAATGCAATCCACTTCCATTCCAAATCTTATAGACTATGCATATTAATGATGTAAAATCCATGACAATCTAAATATCAAATGAACCTTAAGTGATTTGGAAATTGATAGACAAAAAGGCTATTTTGGTGAGAAATTGACTGAAATAGCCAATCTTTACAATCGAGTTTACTTTTTAACGACTTTTAGAATTGAATTCCAATTTTAATCATGGTGTATGCAAATCCCTATTTTCAAATTAAAGAAAACAAGATTTTTATCCCAAATGGTTCAGATTGGTGGTGGTTCAGATGGCGGTGGTTTAGATGGTAATGGTGGAGGTGATTCAGATCGACGATGGTCATAGTGGGTTTTATGAGATTAATGTATATTGGGTTAAGGACATATTTAGTATTATGAAAATACAGAATTTCATTCCATTAAACTATCATGTAGTTGCTAAGAAATATTAAATTCTTTTATTTGGGGAATTTCTAGGATCTTGAAGATTTCCTTCATAAAAAAAAAATAACCATACGAGAGAATGAAATTTGGTCAATGTGAATTCAACACTCCAATTTCATCAGATTCTTTCAGAATACCAAACGCCCCTTTAGTTTATTGTCAGTGTGTTTGGTATATGGACAAATTCATTGTCCCACGTGTGACATGATATGGGATATGATAAGAATTCATTGTCCTACGTTTCGTGTGACATTGGACAAGGTGGAAAAATAGGTGGAACATGATGAAACAAGAATGAAGACATGAAGCAAAAAAGATAATACTCATAAAAGATCTTCAACCATGCCTCTTAACAGTTCATTAAGGATCTTTCAAACTAAATGAAACATAGTGTTTCATTTATACGAACCATGTTTTTATAAACTACCATAATTTATATCAAATTCTTCATTCAAATTTGGTACTATTATATATGTATGTATTTATGTATATGAAAATTGTATAAAAATGTTACAAATTATAATATTTAAATATTTACTTGGTTTATGTCGTTTATAACTATTATATTATATATAAAATCATCAAACAATTTTTAAGGTTACTTGTTTAGTCATGTCCTATCCAACTCTAGTCATATCAAATATTAGACAGATAACTTGTCATGTCTTGTTCCGTCTAGTTATATCTTATCATGTTCAGTCTAATCATGTCAGCATACCAAATGCTACGTATACGATCAAGTTACATTATTATTATTTTTTCAATTTCCTATTATTTTGTCTTTCTAGCAATCAGAATGATTGAGTAAACCTAGTCTTAATAATAAAAAAATGGTATGTTTCTATTTGACATTTTAGATTGACAAATCAAGACATTTATATGACATATATATTTGATAATGAAGAATTTTTTGTTTATATTTAACAATGAAGTGGTGAGAAAATGGTCTAACAAATACCCCATGATTTCCATTATTGCTCCTCTCAATTATTTCAATTGGATTGCTCCAATTTTGATTATATATATATATATATATATATATGTGTGTGTGTGCGTGTGGGGGGTGGTTGGATTCATGTTCAAATGTAACTCACATATTAAATGTAAGAGTATTTAGGTAATTTATCATTTTTATGTAACTCCCCAATATTTTAATTGGGAGTTACAAATTTTAAAATATCAGTAATTGATCTTCATGTAATAATGACATGAAGTTTCACATTTGTTCGTCTTACTGATTTTTACATTTCATTCTTCCTACAATGGTTTTGATATTGTAAATTTAAAAAAAGTCCATTTTGTAAAGATTTCGTTATAGTCCGAGTAATATGGATAATCATAGAGTAAAACAGATCGACGACAATGAAAATGAAAAAGCTAAAAGCGTCTACGAATGCATTCGGAATTCGAATTCCGAAAGTGAAGAAAATGATCAAACCGTTCACGCACATGTTCACTCAAATGTCGACATATGTGTTCACTCGTGCACATATGTGTTCAATTGGTTCACACAATATGTTCATTTGGTTCACACACATGTTTCAATTGCTCATTAGGTTCACACATTGTTTTGATGAAGATTATGAACCGAATTTTTCAATTGTTCATTAGGTTCACACATTGTTTTGATGAAGATTATGAACCGAATTTTTCAATTGTTCATTAGGTTCACACATTGTTAATTAGGTTCACACACATGTTTCAATCTTATCTGGATGTCGTCGTCTGGTAATCCTTCCAAATCCTCCATTGTTTTGATGAAGATTATGAACCTAATTTTTAGCTACTGGTTTAAGATATTGATTGATGAAATTGACGGTTTCTTTCTTGATTGGAAGTTACAGAATAGGCTGACAAAATAGGATATGTTAAGATCATTCACTTTTTACAATTCTATCCTCTGAACCATTGTGAACCTAATTTTTTTTATTAATATGATAATTAAATAATTAAATTTTTAGTCTCAATAAATGACAACCGTTGGATGTTCAAATCAACGACCAAGATCGGTTAACAAAGTTAACACGATAATCTTGGTTAGTATTTGAACCAGCCCCTATATATATATATATATGTGTGTGTGTGTGTATGTATGTATGTGTATGTGTGCGTGTGGGGGTGGTTGGGTTCATGTTCATGAGACATGTGGGACACGGTTTTTACACTTTAAACATCACAATAAGATGTTATGAAGGTAAAAAAGAAATTGAATCTTCACAATAAAAACACTGTAAAAGTTACTTTCACAGTGTTTTGCTGTGAAGTTTCAAATGTAAAAATCGTGTCTCACATGTCGCATGAAAACAACCTTGTCTCATATGATCCCAAGTCTATATATACATACATACATACATACCAAGCTGTAATTATTGAATATTGATAATGTAGATACCAAGTTGTCATGTTATACTGTAATCTTTTTTGATAATTGTGGTTATTTAGATTAATTTGCACGCACATCGACTAATATTATAGGACTTTGATAACAACAGTCAGAAAATGGCTAATGGTAATCTTAGG